GGTTAAATCGCCTGTTTTCCATAGCTACTCCTTATACCCCCCCCCCTCCTTTTTTTTTTAACCCCCTTTTGAGCCCACACCACCTGAAAATGATTTTATGTGACAATTAAAATGCATTTTTGTGCAAAAATGAAAGCCCCATGAATAATGGCAGAAAATATTTGGCGTCACTGGCTTTTTCTACATAATGCCCGACTTTTTTTACCGCAACATTTTTGCACACTAACACACACACACGCGTACACACACGTGCAATAAGGGGGGGTGTGGTCCAGTCCAGCCATATTTATATTTGCCTATGTAATGATTTTTTATTAAAAATAGAAGAGAGTCGTCGAGTCGCAAATAAAAATGAATGGCGAAAATCGCATCAGAGACCCCATGGAGCCCCCTCTCTTAGGCCGGCTGCGAAATTTATCGATGAAGCGTTCTCATTGGCACAAAAAAAGAAAAAAAAAATATATATATAAAAAAAGGATGCCACCAAATGAAATGTTAATTTTATTTTGATGTAATATTTAACAGCGACGCGTCGTCCACATACGGACACAGGCACATACATATGGCCACGGCCTGTATGGTCTATCTGCTGGCAGCTGACATTGCTAACAAACAATGCAAATCACTGCCAGGAGGAAGGCTCCCCAACTACTACAGCTACCCAGTACCCCTGTTTCCAATTCCCAGCTGCCAGGACCTTTTCCCTTTTCGCTTTTGCCATCCTGTCAAATCATCATAACAACGGCAGGAGCACAAGCAGGACCATCACTGGTAGCCCGAAAAAGAAATATAGCCCAGAATGGAGTGGAGTGACTTGCACTGGCCAAAAGTTGAATTCATATATTATATATATATAGATTTTATAGCTCATTTTGTGACCTCATCAGATCCCAAAAAGGTTTCACCAAACCTCAAGTGTTTAAATTGGGAATTGAATGACTATTGAACATGATTTTATAGTTCATTTCTAGCATTTTGTTAAAAACTATTATTTTTAGAGAGGGAAAATAGGTTAGGGTATATTGGTATAAACCTTGCAATTTTGGAATTTTAAATCGATTGTAACTATACCAAAAAAGGCATTAATTTTAAATAGATAAGCTCGTTGGTTTTAGTTTTTATTAGGTTGACTGATTTAGCTATTAATATATATTACATTTCATGTGAATCCTCTTATTTTCCCAGCTTGTATATTTTATATATAAAGGATTAATCTGATAAAGGAACAATCTGGATAAAATCAACCACAACATGTTCGGTTATACCTTTATGTTATGTCTGAACAATGAAAAGTATCCTTGATCGAGGCGATCTTGTGGCCTATCCTAGAGTATTCAATGTATTTACTGACATACTGATCCTGGCCCTTACAGGATTCCAGCAAATCAGGGATATGGCAGAGATCCGTAGAATACCCCCTTCTATGTAGTTCCAAAAAAAAAAAAAAAAAAAAAAAATCTTTCGAAGGACTTTGTAAATTTTATAAACTCGCTTCGTTCCGTTCCGTTCGCTGGCGGGGAATAGGCTCACACACACTGTGCCACAAATGAGCGAATGAGCAGGCGACACACACACACACCACTTTGAATACATATACATATTCATGTATGCCAAAAAAAAAAAAAAAAAAAAGTAAAAAGTAAAAAAGTGTGTGTGCTCGCAAGCCCCGAACGACATGCTAAAAATTTGTATAGAAAATTAGTTAAAAAATTACTCCGCAGACACGCGCACGCATGCTGAGGGGGGGAGGAGGAGGGTTTTTTCGGGGGGGGGCCTTACTTTACATATGCGCACACACCCACGCACGCACACACACTCGTGAGACAGAGACAACAAGAGGCAGTCACTGCACGAGTTAGACACTGTTGGCATTAGTGGGCGGTGTTAGAAGTGCGCGCATCCCCCGCTTAGCCTACCTCCCCCCACACACTCGTACTTTCTACCTACACCTACAGATACACCCCCCCCGCAGCTACACACACACACACACTCGCATGGGCCATGTACAATTTTAATGTTTAGAGTCGCGCGCGCTTAAAGTTTGTCATAAAGCACCCCATTAAAAAAAGGGCGAACAGCGAACCTAATGGAGGGGGGAGTGGGGGTACAAGAAGCTAAAGAGGGGGTAGAAGAAGCTAAAGGGGGGTTACACTCAACAAGGGGGTACAAAGGGGGGGGTTCTTCACTGGGAAAGGACGAAAGCCAAGAGCCAGAAAGAGAGCTCCATCAAATTAAATACAAATGCGAATTAGAAAAACTTTTTCCCCGTTTTTCTTTTTTTTTTTTTTTTTTGGTTTTGGTTTTTTGTGTGTGTGTGTTGTTTTTGTTTTTGGCCCCACACAGCTTTGTGTACATATGAAAAATTAAATTGGCTGCTGCCGGCGTCGCCGTCGTCTGTCACTAACAGACTAGCGCGAATGCTAAAGAGGCAAGCCCAGGGCAAAGACTAGGGGGGGGTGAAGGTACCGCTGGGTTGTAGGGGGGCATACGCACATGCCAGCAGAAAAGCAAAAAACTTTTTCCGAAAAAGAAAGTGTGCTCGCGGAGCGGGAGGCCGCCGCCAGGATGTGGAGAAAAGTAAAAGGGATTGGAAAGCTGGTAGCAAAGGTAGGTAGGAGATAGGGGTAGCGAGGAACAGGGGGGGAGGAGAGGAGAAGGGGGGCACAAGTTAAAACAAACACAAGCCGAGTCAAAGGAAGCAAGAGAAGCCTTGGAACCAGCAACAGAAGGTCCTGTCGAAGTCGCAGTCGAAGAAATGATGACGATGATGATGTGGATGGGATGATGAATGCACTTTTTCCACAACCGAAGAAATATCTCCCCTTTATAGAGTGAATAAAAATGCTGAAAAATAATAGAAAAATACTAAGAATATTTCTCAACACCAAAATTATCTGTATTTAACGTAAACGAATGCTTAATCTTGGTAGCTGTACTTTTTATAATCTGTGAGATAGATTGGGATAATCTAATGGACAAAACAGACAGACGGACAAAACATTCAAGGCTAAACACACTCGAGATTCAACTAAAGCTAAGAATGTTTCATAAAATTTAACACAGTGAGTATGGGAACTTATTAAATACAAACTATACTAAAGGACAGGCGGACAGACGGACAAACGGACAAATATAAAAAGCCCTTCAAGCTGGCATTAAAATGTTATTTGAAAATACGGCAACTCTAGCTCTTAAAAATGTAGAGGTTTCTATAAATGAACGGACAGACGAACAAGACTAAATCGACTCGTCTGATAATGCTTATCATAAAAATATATTTATTTAGCGGGCTCCTTTTGCCTGTTTGGTCGTTATACCCTTGTACCCTTTGAGGTTTCTATGACTTTACCTGATATTAGATAATATTAATATGCAAATTAAGACATTAAGAAAATAAAGATCATCTTGAATTTTAAGTTAACCTGTTGAGTTTCTAATTCAAAGAATTTTTTCATGGGGTTTCCAAGGGGAACAGAAAGAATAAATGGGTGGAGCCGAAAGTTCGAGCTCTGGTTTTTAAGCAAATGGTTCAAGGAAAGTTTAGGAGATTCTACTGCTTCTACTATTACAACTACTAATACTAATATTAATACTATTAATACTACTACTCCTCCTCTTACTACTCCATCTACTCCACTCCTCCTCCTACTAATACTCCTCCTTCTACTACTTCTCCTAAAACCCCTCTTCCTGCTTCTGCTCACTAGAGAACACCCCAAATATTCGCTGCGTAGAACAGAGCGTTCAAAATGTTAAATTATTTGGCAAACCTTATAGGGGGGAGCATGAGGTGGAAGCACAAGAATGGGGGGGTGGAGTGGAGGGGGTTCAACGCACAAATTAAAAAATAAGCTTCCAAGCAGAGGTGGTAGTGTAGGGTAACAGAGAGGACTGGAGAAGTGAGGAGCGGGGAGTACGCACCACAACGCACTTTTCCCATACAAATACATTTGCAATTTATGTACCTTTGACTTTCTTTTTTTTCTGTTGTTGCTGGCGCGAAATAATAAAAAGGGAGCACCGCACACACACACACACATGATGATGGCGTAGGCAGTGTTCGACAGTGTTCTATATGCTTACATATTCATATGCGAACGAGGGAGACAGGAAGCGAGTTTACATAAGCTCACAGCAAAAGGATGGGGCGGCGGCGACGGTTTCGTTAGCTCAACTTTCTTTGCATACTCTTCCGAAATACGATATAATAAATACATATATTTATATATTAGTATGAATGTACATACATACATCCAAGCAGGACCCCTCCAAGCCCCCGATCCTACGTTCCGATCTGATCCCTTCGAGGGTATTTCCCAATTCGGCTTTCCACGCTCTACCCCAAACTTTTACCATACATTTCCCTCTTTCGTTTTGTAGTTGTTTTTGGCAATTAACCAAGGGTGGTGGTGGTGGCGATGGTGGCCCCTCCCCCTACCCACTCACCTCCCCCACGGCCTGTCACACGCATGCCCTCGTCGTCGTCGCCGTTTTTTTTTTTTTTTTTTGCGCCCACTTGAAAATTTTTTAAATATTTTTAACTGCTGCGAGAGCTCCACACTCGTCGTGTTTGGTTAATATTTTCCCCCTCTATATGCGTGTGTGTGTGTGTTTGTGTCTAGTGTGTGCCACCAACCCCACCCCCCGCATATATGCGTAATATATTAACCAAAAAACAACAACAAGAGAGGAGAGAGAATAAGCGTAAAAAACAAAGGCGCACCGCACCAAAAAGTAGGTGGAGCAACAAATTTCGAGCTCGCCTCTGACACTTGAAGCTTACTCTTTGGCAATTATACATAACACACACACACACACACACACACACACACACACACACACACACTAACATGGCCAATATGCACCCAAAAACGGTTATATAAATGCAAACACACATACGCACACATTCCGGCCGGGATGTGGCATCCTTCTTCTCTTTTTTTTTGGGTTTTTTTTTTTTTGTGTGCGACGGTACATAATTAATAACGACGGGGACTTACCAATATTATATACACATGTGAATTGTTTTAGTTTCAGTCGGGAACATTCTGAAATAGAGCAAGGATATAGGGTTAGTTGGTTGGTTTAACGCTTATCTTAACCTTGTAAGAATAGCCTTTCGTTGGACATAAACAAAAACTTTTAATTTAAATTAATTGTCAATCTTGATCTCAAATTTGATCTCCATAATAAAATTTTAGACTTCATTTTAACCTGTAGTTTAACCTTAACTTTAACCCAACCCTTAAGTTGTATTTTAGCCCTGATCTTAAACTTAATTGGAACAGAAAACATAGGAGTAGAAAACCTATCTATCTATCTTCGTAAACCTATTCATAAATATATATATTTCTGAAAAGAAAATCAGGCAGGGTTTTTAATAGGATTTTTTCAAGTTTTATCACGCAAAAAAAGCTTTAAAATAGTTTATTTTCATGCAGAGACACGTTTAATTTCGTAAAAGAACAAAAGTTAGACTTTAACTAGCCTGTTGATTACCCTAAACGTTAAAGTTTTTATAATTTTATTTATTTATTTAAAACCAAACTAACCCCAACTTCCGTTTCTCTTGTCTTTCCAGCTCGTTCTGCTTATTGCTGATCAACGATCGCAGGTGAGTGGGTGACTCCTCTTCAAAGGCTTCCCCCAACGGTGGACATTGTCTTAAGCTCAAATACGATAGGCAACAAAAACAACAACAAATAAAATAAAAAAAAAAGCACAGAGGGATGGATGGCCCACACACACACGCTCGCTCACTCATACGCAACCCCGGGTGGGACACAAGCTTGAGAGCTATTCCTATTGGCTAATTACTGGCAGCAACCTTCCCCCACCTATCCCGAAGTATAATAATTTGCATACAAGGATATGAGTGTGTGTGAGTGCGGTAAGTCTAGTGAAATATGCAAGAAACTTTTGGGACAAGACAGGCCCAAAATCCTAGGCATCCTACCAGCATTCACCAAAAGAGGATGTATGTGTGTGTGTGTGTGTGTGTGCGCATCCCTCTTCTAAGATTTTAATGCAGCCCCCCCTTTCTTGGTGCGCTTCACCACATGCAGCTTAAATAATTTGTCGCATTTGCCGGCTGCTTGGATTCCCTTTCCCCATCCTCTCACTCAGCGCGAAACTACAACGAAGACGTCAACATTCACATCCTTATCCAGCTTCGCGCGCGCCAACTCACCAACACAGACAAATACACACAGTGGCTGGTACTCTCTCGCCAGAGAGTCCTGGCGGCGGCAGGAGCCATCGAAGAAGACGAAGACGAAACAAAAAAAAAAAAATAAAGAATACTAAAAAAAAGAAAAATAATAAAAAAGAAAGGCGAATACTTCGGGCGCACTTGTTGGCATCTCCTCGTCCTCGTCCTCGTTCTCGTCCTCGTCGTCGTTGTCCTTGTCGTTTTTCGTCTAAGAGAGCGGCATAGCATACTTTTTCGGGCCGAGATGGAGGGCGGAAGGACGAGGACTCGGCAAGATGAGGGAGGGGGTAGCCTGCGTCGAGGCGCTACTGGTGGGTACTTTACTTGATGATTATGGCGACGATAATGATGATTGGAATGGCTTTGATGGCGTTGAAAATGAAGATTGCGTGTAGTAGATTTGCTCCGACTGTGTATGTCCTGCGTTCTGCTGTTGCTTCTGCTTTTGCTTGAGCTTTGGCTCCTTGTGGCCCCGACTGCCCGCTGCTTTTGTGTGAGTGTGTGTGTGTATTGAGGGGGCTGCCTCTGCTGATTTCTGGGTAATATCCGTCCAACTACACACTATCAGCATTTGATTTTATTACGCTCATTTGTATGCGCGTAGTTCTTAGAGGCTGTGTGTGTGTGCGTGTTTATTGGGGCGGTGGGGTTGTAGTAGATTTTCGGACAGGACTCTCCTAGAGAGCAACAGGGTGACGTCTTCAAGTGCTGGCCCCAGCTTTGACCTCCTGCGGCAGCGCTGCCTCGGTCGCTGCCGCTGCTGCCCCTGCTGGCTCCTGTTACAGTTTCAGCCACTCTTGTTATTATTGTTTTTGTTGTTGGTCCTGTCGTGACAATGAAGGCCACGCCGAGACTTTTGCCGGCTGACTTTACCTTCTTTAAGAAACACACCGACACCGCCCCCCCTCAATCCCGCCAGCCTCCTCCAAAGATGCTCGTTCGTTCGTTTTGGTTTCGTTCTACTCAGGACCACTCTCTGGGGGCAGTGTCTTGGGCAGTTTTAGTAACCGTTAAGACGTCGTGGCTGCCTCGTCGTTGCAGGAACTGCGTGCTGCCTGCCTGCTGTCTGCTTCCCAGCTTCCTAGCTGCTTCCGTTTCCGCTTTAGTTAGTTAAGCTTAAGCTGCTTTAGTTAAGGTGAGGATCGGTTAGGATCTCTCCGTAACCACATTCCTTCTCTCCATACGCTCTCTCTCTCTCTCTCTTGCCCTCTGGGAGTTGGTTCTTCTCCCTCTCTTGGCTAGCATTGCCTACTTATCGGCGCGATTTACACGCGTTAGAGCAAGCGAGAAGAGACCAGAAATTAAAATTTAAAAAACTGCTCTCCTCCTCGCACACACACACGCACACTCCCACACGCGCACAGGCCATCCTTTTTATTCGCTTGGTTATTTTTCGTGCGTCGATTTCCCCTTTCGTATGCTCGTAGTTCGCCTCGCGTATGTGTGTGTGTGTGCGAGAGTCCTTTTTATTTTCGTGCTTTACAAATTTTTGTATTTTTCATTTTTGCGCTCGCTCCGCTCTCTCTCTCTCCGGTGTGTGTCGTCGTGTAAACGCGTTTTTTCAGTTTTTCTTTTTTTTTTTTAATTTTTTCCAACTGCTGCCTGCCGGCACGGGGGTTGTTTGTGGGCGCCGCCTGCAGTGGGGTTGAGCAACGCGATTTTTTCTCTCACACGCTGTGTATATCTGTGTGTGTGCGTGTGTTTGTGTTGCTGCTGCTGCTTCTTATCCTCCTGCTTTTCCCTTTTTCCACATTTTCCTCCTGCTGCCGCTTTATTATTTTTTTTCTGCCGCTGCTCTGCCGCCGCTTTTGGTTTTAGCATTTTTCGTTCGTTTTTCGCATTTTTGTTTTGTTTCTGATTTTCCTTTTTCCTTTACGCCAGCATCGCAGTCGCCGTCACCGTCACCGTCGCCGTCGCAGTCGCATCCTTTTTTTTAGAGGCCGCCGCACGCAGAAAAAAAGAGCAAAGTGTGCGTGTGTTTGTGCTGCTGCTGCGTGGGGTGTCCTGCGAAATGAGTAATGAGTGTTTAGTACGTTGTTTGGCGGCTGATTTTTATGGCAGCGCAGCAGCGGCAGCAGGACTCCCGCAGCAGGATCCGCACAATCCGCAGGATGCAGAAGTGCATGGTCAGGCGACGGTATAGCCTAGCTTTGGGCGCTCACTAAGCCCTAATCGGAGTGTCTCCAAAGTGTGCGGGTGCCAGGACAATTTCCCAGTCTAAGTGATAGTTATAGGTCCTAGTCCCCCCCTCGCAGCATCCTCAAACCCAAGTTTGAATGCTTTACCAAAACAAAGCTCATCGCATCGTTCAGTGTTGCGCTGCTGCTCCTGCTACTGCTGCCTTCGTCCTGCGGGCAGGCGGCGACTTCGGGCCACCTTCGGGCGGCTTCGGCTGTTGTGCCGCCTTGTGCCGCCGCCGTCGCTGATGCCGCTGCCGCTGCCGGCGCCTGCAGAGCGGCAGAGCGGCGATTGCGACTTGGACTTCAATCGAGTTGGGTTTTAAAAATAACGTTAGTTGCTGTTTGTTGCTCGTTACGTGCGCGTGCTGCGACGCGGACCAAAAAATATTACAAACAAAAAATAAAAACCCCGACAAACAAATAACAAAAAAATAAAAATAAATAAACGAACAACCGAAAAATATACAAAATTTCTAAAGAGAGACATTACATTACAGCGGAAACGGAAATAGAAGTTGTAGTAGCTCTGAAACGGAAAACAAAACTGATTCCAATTCGAACTCAGAACGACGAACTCTGTTCTCTTTCTTAGCCTTCATATTTTTTTTGCAAGTGTAAAGGACAGCATCCTGCGAGAACTAGCGCCGATTTGTTGCCGATTGTTGATTGTTTTCATTTTTGTTTGGTGAATAAACAGACGCAGCAGCAGCAGCCGATGCCGATGACGATGACAAGTTGTGCAATATCGAAATCAAATCGTATCGAAATCGTATCATAAAGTGCAGTTAGGAAGACACCGCAACACACACACCCCCACACATACACACATCCGGAATATCGTAGCAGCAGCAGCATCAAAATTCGCATCCTTAACCGTTAACCTTAACCGTAACCGTAACCGTGCCCCGAACAGATCGAAAAGCGAGCAACCGCAACAGAAACTCTAAAGTGAAAGTGTGAGTGAAGCAGCAGCAGGACATCAGACAGAGGAGCATTAAGTTGGAAACGGAAACCCCCCCTATAAACGGTAGCCGGCTTGAAACCGGACCAAGTTGCAGGCAATGCACGTGGAAAAGGATCATCCCCAAAGGAGCTCACTCCACATGTAAGTTCTTGAGATATGTCTTGCTATTGAGAGGTTTATTGGGGCTTCTTCAGATAGTACTTTTTGAAGTTCAAGGATTCCCGAGGTTCTTCCCAGTCCTTCAGTTCGTCCCTGAAATTTAGATGCCTTCTTATTTGCTGTATAAGAAAATGTTCCATCATCTCTACTTCTCTATTAAAATCTTTTATAGTTCTTGGAACTTTCTGCAGTTCAACAGTTCCCTTTTAATCTTTAAGAAGCTTTGATTTCTTTCTTACTTTCTGATTAAAATTATAAATACAATTTCATAAAATTGTACCGTCAGGTTCTACTAAGAAATCCTAGTATCAAATACTACCAACAAATTCCTCTCTACTAAGCTATTAGTAATTCCAGTTTTTTCCCTGGATTTTCAGTTCCATTTTAATCTTTGGTGAGCTTCGATTTCTTTCTTACTTGTTTTGAAATATTACCATCCAAATCTTGTATTCTCAAGCTTAGTAATGTTTTAGTTGACCTTCAGTATTTTGAATTGATATATATATAATTTTCCAGGAATTGATAAGAATTTAGTTCTTGACACATTGTTTTTGTGTTTATTTTTGGTTTTAGTTTACTCGGAGGATTGATAGAGATTTTCTAAGAAATTTTCAAGTATTTTTTAAGTGAATATTTTGTTTTTATTTTTACTTGGAAGTTTGATAGAGATTGATTTATTTTGTTTTTTTTTTTTCTTCTTCTTATTCGATTTTGTTTTGTTTTTTTTTTTTTTCTTAAGCAACAAATATATTTTTAGCTAATAATAATTTCAAATTAGAGATTAGAAAATGGTAAATCCGTGATATATATTATTTCTGGTATTATTTATTATTATATATATATATTTTGCATTATTTATGATTATTTTTTATCTTAGCTTTTGAGTTCTCAAAAGAAAGAATGTGTGTAGGGTAGTACTTTTTCTTTCCCTATGCATTTCTTGTTTCGATTATTCGTTATAATAGTCTCCCCCGATTTCCCCCGATTCACATTCCGTATTCCATATTGTATATATATAAATATATATACATTCCCGCGTTCCCAAATGGCAAGCTGGCGGGCGTTGAACCTGCTCGGAGAGCTTTCTTCATGTAAACACACAGGTCTCGGGAGCGGTCTCCGTCTCGGTCTGGGTCTCGGACTCAGCAGAGCGGGGGCGATCCCATTGCTCTCTAATGGTTCCCGTCGTTGACCTCCTCGCATATTACGTATACGCCGCCTGATCGTATGCTCGTGCTGCTGCTGTTCCTTCTTTCCTTTTCTTTTTTTTTTTTTTTTTTTGTTGCCTTGAGCAGCGGGCAATGCACGCATCCGATATTAGGCCTTCGCCGTCAGCAAAACGGAGAGTGAGAGAGTGCGATAACGAGTGCGTGAGCGGTTGAGCCTTTTGTTTTTTATTTCCCTTTTTTTATATATACATACGTATGTATTTATGTATATTATACGCGGGACTAACTCGGTGAAGCGCCGCCAATTAGAACAAACAGCAACAGCAACGACGACAAGTTCAATGCGATCGTTTCGCCTTCGACGTCGACAGCGACGCCGAGAGGTTGTTGTCGAGGTCCCCGGCCACCTAGGGGTTAATGCCAGTTGTAATTGCAAAACACAGCCAACAAAGGAGCAGCTTAGAACGCTGACTGACAGCCTCACAGAGATTCAGATACTTTTAGAGAGTTTATTATTTAACAGTAATGCTGCAAGACATAAAAAAAATGTATATATATAAAAAATATATAAAAATCAAATATCAATATAAATATTATAAAAAATTAATATTAATAATATTTAAATATAAATATAAATATTATAAAAAATTACTATTAATAAAATTTAAATATAAATATAAATATTATAAAAAATTACTATTAATAAAATTTTAATATAAATAAGAAATATATACATGAAATATAAATATAGTTAAAATATAAATATCAAAGTAAAAAAAAACTCACATGAAAGCGATTAGTTAGGGTTCTCATTATATTCAGAAACTAGTCAGTAATATATATTTAGCGATTTACTTTTAAATCTATTTTCTTTACCAGAGATTCCAGTCTTTATGTATTTTATTCATTTGTATTTTCTTTCTCAAAGATTATTTTTTCATAAAATAAAATTGCATCCTTTGAATTAAAATATTTTCATTAGTTGATAATTAAATCATCGTTTCATGTTATTGGAATATTTATTTTTAAAATTATTAATTAAGATCCTTTTTAAAAATATATATCATTTAGTTTTCTGACTCCTGTTGAAATCTATTATTGTTGTTATTATATTATATTGAAAAAATTGTTATTATTTAAAATTTTATTAATAAAACACTTATAAAGCTAGCATAGAAGGGACACTTGAGTTAAACCAAATAAATACCTATCTAGTGCATTTTAGCCTTTAATATTTATTTATTATTTAATTTAAATAATTTTTCCCCATTATTATGCTTTTCTTATTTGGTTTTCAATAAATTTAACACCATTAAATGCATTCATAGCCATACATATTATCGTTTTGTAATAAACTCTGACTGAGGAGACTGACTCAGAGGCTCAGACTGCTTTTGGCTCTGCCTCTGGGCTCTCCTTTTTTCCGGCTAATCTGCCCGAGAGTCTCTCGGTGACATTTCGCGGTGATCTTGAAACAACCATTAACTGAACGAGAGACGCGGCAATAAAGACATTATAAATACGTATATATATGTACGTGTAGATACATTCACGAGGGAATCGGTTTATGAATCGGCGGATCGCCAAGAGGTCACACTCACTGCAGGTCTGCACAGGTCTGGTGGCGGGGAGCTGGCAAGCAAAAACCTTAACAAAACAACATTAAAAACAATTCTGGAAAAAGTGCTAGCCAGCGCAAGTGCGAGACAAGCAGAATTAAAAATATTATAAAACCAAAAATCGCCACGCATGAATCTAGTAAAAAAAAAATACTTTTTTTTTTACAAAAAAAAAATTTTAAACAAGCAGTAAAAAAATAAAAAGCGCAGCAAAAAAATACTGGCAAACAAGATGCAAGTGGCAACAAGTTTCTCAGACTCTCGGTTTCTCGGGCTCTCAGTTCCGCAGTCTGCCAGTCCCCAGTCCCCAGTCTTCAGTCCCAGGGCCAGTCTTTCTTAGTCTTTAGTCTTCAGCCTCCTCCTCTCCTCTCGAGTCTTCTGTGCGTGCCAAGGGAGGGGTAAGAGGAAGCTTCGGGAATCTGGGTTATGGCAAACAGGGGAGCCACACAGGCCATGTAATAAAATGCGAAAATGCGGTAATGGTAATGGTAATGCCAGAGCCCAAATATTAAGCAAGTCTTTTTGCATCAGCACAAAAATATGCCTCTGCCTGGAAAACAAACTCCAAAAGAGTGTTGTTTCTTGCTGGGATTTGGGTTTGGGTTTGTGGGCTATACACACACACATTTTAGCTGATAAACGCTCTGCTCTCGGGCTCTATATCTTTCAGTTACAGTTGTTGCATATGGGGCGCGGATATATGTATATCTATATATATATATATATATATATGTACATTTATATGCTCGGCAGCAGCGAAAGTTGCTTGTAAGCCTCTATTTGCGATTTGCTTTCCGAATGAGTGTGCGAGTGTGAGTGTGTGCGTGGGAGGCGATCGCTGATCGCTGATTCGCCCCCGTGCTGTGGCTGTGTCTTACATTTCCCCCAAATTCTGGTAAACAAAAAATTCTTCTACTGTCCAAAAGAACCCAAAAAAAAAATTCACAAAAAATACATACAACAAAAAAACAAACAATAAAGAACCGAATGAGCCGCTCGTTTGCTTATTCGCTCATTCGGGGTTTTTTTTTTTTTTTTTTGCTGCTTCTGCCTGTAAAATGCAGCGATCGTCGCTGGTGCTGCCGCTGCCGACGTCGCTGCACTCAAAAAAAAGCCAAGGAAATAATACACTCGCTGTCGCAGTCGTCGCCAACGCAGCGTCGCAGTCGAGAAGTATATAACAAAAGCAAGTAAAAAACAGGGCAGAAAAATACAAAAAAAAAAAAAAAAAAAAATAAGTAAAAAAAAAAGTGAAAGAGCGAAGAGCAAAAGGCAAAAAAGCGAGCGAAACATACAGGCGGCGGCATAAGTATACACACGCACACCAGCACACACACGCCAGCGGGTTCTCTGATTCAATTGGGCAGGCGGCGCACACACACACATTCGCACAGTCAGACGGAGGGCAGCAGCGGCACACACACACACACACACACACAACACACTTAACTGCATTTTTTCGGAACTCAGTTGAGCTTTTTAATTCGATCGGTTCAGTTACTAAAGTTAGTTCAGCCCAAACGCACAATTGCAGTTTCAATTTTCAATTTTCAAAACCTAAACCAAATCCAAATCCACGCACACACACACCCACACACAAGGATTAGACACACACTACCACGTTTTTTTGTCAATTTTTTTTTATATTTGTCAAGTGTAAGAAAGTAAGAAGAAAGTCATCAGCCATCCAGCCAAGAGCTGAAGAGCCAGTGCGCGTACACGCGTCCCTTTCAACTTACACCTCCCTCATACATCTATATATCCTTGTCCCTAAACAACAACAACAACAACAAACAATCAAAGATCCCGGAGAAAGCCGGAGAGAAAGCGGTAGAAAGCCGCAGTTACAAAAGTGAACAAAAAAGTGCAAGCAAATGCAGCGCCGCAATGCGCCAGGATGCGCCTGCTGCTAAAGAGCCAGCCACCAAGGAAGGCCAGAGAAGCCCAGTTCTAGACAGGTAAGGTCAGCAGTTTTTGTTTGGGCTTCTAGCAGGTGTAGATACATAGATATATATCCTTAGGCTTACAGCTGAATGTGTTTTGTTTGAGCTTCTAGACGGTACAGATACATATTATCCTTAAGGTCCTTGGCTAAAAACTGACTGGGTGTATCCTTGTCTTCTAGTTATTTGAGCTTCTAGCAGGTAAAGATACAGATACAAATGCAGCTACAGATACTAATGCAGATACACAC